CCTCATAAATCAATTTATTGCCACTTTGTTTATCTCATAAATTGTATTTATTTTTCATGCATGTATGTAGTTTGTAATCTAATCTGTAAGGTTATAATCTTGCCTGCAATGGAAAGAATATGTTATAGCTTTTCAATTACAGTTCGAAGATAAGAAAATAAATACAACGGGGAATCTCTCCTTTGTAATCTTATATCACATATAGAATACTGAATTAACGAAGAAAAAAGTATGATATATAAATGCGCTCTTTTTTTTCTAATATACATGAAAAACACAAACAGTTGCAGAGCCATATATAGGTAATGTGTGCTTAGCGATTTATCGATTACTATATTGTTTTTGAGAGTTTTGGTTTCGGTTTAAAAGATGGATATAAATGAGTAGCCATTGGGAGAAAACTTTATTTTGCTCACCTGTTTTATTATGAGCAGATCAAAAGTTAACTTAATAAGATTAACACACATTATTATGTATATACATAACAATGTGTCTACCTTGATAGGGTGACTTTTGATTTATATTGTGATGACAATATAGAAAAATAAATAAGAGGGTGTGGATGTGGGGTGTGGGTATGGGTGTGGATGTATGTGATTAAAGACAAAAGGAACACCCACATCCACACCCACACTCACACCATTCCTTTTTTCTGTTGATTTTCATTTTTCCTAAACTTAGAAGCTATGAGTGAACATAAACGTATAGAACTGATATTACACATCATTCTTTTTATGATGATCGACTTAATCCATATTTCTTTATACATTTTTTCTATAGTATTATTCATTTTACTAATTGATTTTCATTTTTCCTACACTTAGAAGATATGAGTGAACACAGACGTATACAACTAATATTTCACATCTTTCTTCTAATGATCATCGACTTAATCCATATTTCCTTACACATTTTTCTCATAGTATTATTCATTTTTCCTAAACTTAGAAGCTATGAGTGAACACAGATGTATACAACTAATATTACGTATCACTCTTTTAATGATGATCGACTTAATCCATATTTCTTTATACATTTTTTCTATAGTATTATTTATTTTTCTTATTGATTTTGATTTTTCTTGCACTTAGAGGCTAAAGGTGAACATATACGTATAAAAGTAATATTACACAGTGTTTTATCCAGAGGGGTGCCCGGGGGGGCCGCGCCCCCCCCGAAAATCGAGTTTGCCCCCCCGAAACTTGCGATCATCGTACTATGAACACGTGGCTTGCCCCCCCCCGAAATTCCAAATCGCCCCTCCGGAGAAAAAATTCTGGATAAAACACTGATATTACACATCACTTTTCTAATGCTTGTGGAATTACTCCATTTTTCCTTATACATTTTTCGCATAGTATCAGTGAGTTTTCTTATTGATTTTCATTTTTGCTGCACTTAGAAGCGATGAGTGAACATATTCATATAAAAGTAATAGTAGGCATCGTTTTTCTAATGCTTATAGAATTACTTCATTTTTCCTTTAGATTCTTCTTATAGTATCATTCATTTTTCTTATTTATTTTCGTTTTTCCTACACTTAGCAACTATGAGCGAAGATATACGTATAAAAGTAATTCTAAACATAATTTTTTTAATGATTATCGAATTAATTCATTTTTCTTGATACACTTTTCTCGGAGCATTAGTCATTTTTCTTATTTATTTTCGTTTTTCCCGCATATATTAGGTATGAGCGAACAGATATGTATAGAAGTACTAGTACAGATGATTTTGTAGTGTGTAGTGTGTAGTGTTTAGTGGTAGACGATTTTTCACGTGAGTGTCATTTTTTGACTGCAACATAACATTTTTGTCACCGATGAATCGAATGCCCAATCCTCATCAATCACCATGAATAAGTTCGACAATAAGTATGATTGCCTTTTGTTTGTAACCAATAATTGAATTATGTTTTGAAAAACTGCTTTTTCTGTTGATACCGTTCTACTGAAGATCGGATGGGGAAGTTGAGTGTGAGTTCATGCTCACCTTCATCCACAGTCGCAAATTATTGTCAACATCAATTCAACTAGATTCAGATTGAAAAGATCGAGCAAACTTCATTGTTAATGCAACTATATAATTATTGTAAGAAAAAAAATGCAAACAGCAAAGATCTTTATGAACAAGATTTCTAAATAGAGTCGATCGAACCGATGGTTAGAGAATTGACTCATATGTTAGATCTGTGCATAAGTCGAGAACTGCATTCATATGATCATATTCACACAGATGCTCGTGTAGAGTTAGTAATATTACGCTTTTTCTTGAGAAATTTGTCGCAAAGCATTGTATATATTGAATGAGGTTTTAGGTTTTGGATAGATTTGAAATCGTAAAGTCTGAACATGACAATTTCTCCCTTGCAATGTGGTTTGTCGATCTTGGATTACAGACCATGACAGACACCTCGATCTAGTAAGAAGACAATATAGTTTCACATATTTGGATTGTATGTGTAGCATGCGTGTCAAAATACTGAAATAAAAAAGAAGAACAACTACATGAATAAATATGAAAAAAGAATTAAGTTGTTTTTTTTTGTATTTAGTTTTATTTAATTTTAGTTTTTTAAGCGAAAAATAGAGTGACCTGTCTCTCGTAGATCAAGACAAGTTCAATCTGTAATCTCAACTTTTGCCTTGCAACAATCGGATGTGGGTCTGGGTCTTCACTTCAACCAAACTCACACTCGCCCATATTCTAATTTCAATCGCTATTTCACAGCTGGAATAGTGTCATCACATAAATTCTTCTCAAAATCAAACAAAGATATAGCCCAAATTTTCTCAACATGGCAGAAAGTTGATCAGAAACTTTTCAAACCAGAAGAGGCTTACTTTCCTCCAAGCCTCCATTCCCTCTGCTGATCATGTTACTAATGATTTTGGTAAATTGATAACAGAAATCTTATTAACTTGAGTCGATATTTTCCGTTTGATAATTATCAATAAAAGCTAAGACATAGACTACTCACGAAAAAAGTATCAATTATATTTACACACGATACGGATCGCTAAAAATGTAACTATTATTGTTGATGCTATTGAAATATACATTCGATTTTCTCTATTGAATTTTACGATATTATCTTCGAATCTCCAAATTATTTAAATGATATTCAATACTGATGAATTCATTTTGATAATAAAAGATCTTTGCTTATTTATTTATAAAACTGAAATAACTTAAAAAAATGCGAATATATCTCGATTTAGAAGATTTAGATAAATAGTTATTCTTGTGTTCTCTCGTTTTTTTTTCTATTGATTCATTCAATATGTCATTTTGCTGTTCTGTTTTTTTATATGATACGTGTCTTTCGATGTTGATTCTTTCTGTTTGCCAACGTTAACTCATACGTCACGACGGCAACAACTATAAATAGATAAATAGCTACTAAGTTTTCAAGCGTGTTCCCTATTGTTATTTTAGAAATAAATATTGAAGTAAAGCGCATAGAGAATCTCTCTAAAAAGAAACAAATGGTAGAGACAATATTGACAACGAATACACCACCATCCGTCACAATCGTTCATATTAATGTCAAGCAAGAATGTCCAGCTCAATATGTAACTGTGTACAATGATCGTGCAGAAGTAACACGTCTTCTTCGATATCATTTCGATAATGAAGGCACTTATGATCTTGTTCTCCAAGGTTTATCACCTAGTGCCGATCTAACTTCGTTTCATGTTAGCGGTGGAACAGGTAAAGCATGTACGATTCTTGAAGTTTCCTATCAAACACGTTACGAAGATTCGTCGGTATCATTATCCGACATAACACTACTCGATCAATTGCAAACACAATTAGATGTTGTTCAAGCAGATATCGATGAACATGCTCAAGAACTTGATCGACTTAAAAAACAACGAACATGGCTCGATGGAAAAGCAACAAAACTGATGAATCAAGAAGAATCTTTGAGTGCAAGTGACTTTGAAACAATGGAGCAGTTTCTTAACTTTTATCGCAAAATGCTCAGCAAAATAGATAAAGAAACAACTCAAGAACAACGACAATTGAAAGAATTACACAGTCGATGTGATGCACTTAAAGCCAAAATAAATGAACATCGTTCACAAGCAATCACTAATCGACTCATAGAACAACGTGAAGTGACTATTACTATTCATGTAGCTAGTAGTAAAACTGATGTTGCCTTGGAACTATCCTATTTAATCAGCAATTGTTCATGGAGTGCAAGTTATGATATACGAGTTGATGGTGGAGAAGGAAGGCAACCAAAAACTCAACTTACTTATTACGGTATCATTGTAAGTATTGTTTTATTACATAAGGATCTTTTCCAATTAGTAACATATATTTTTTTTTCCAGGAACCTTACATTACTTAAATCTTTAGAATTTCTAAATGAATCAATCTTTATATTTTTATTAATTGTTCTCTATTGGCTTCAAGGTTGACAATTTTAAAGTCATTTATGAATACAACAATACCTTGAAGTTGAATAAAAATTCTCTTATTTATCCTTGATTTATCTTACCTAGAATCTAACTAGATTAGGATTATATATCTCCATAGTTTCGGACGAAAACCTTTTCAAGTTCGAGACCTTTTGGTTAAAACTTTGAAAGGTTCAGTATGACTCCTTTTTTTTAGAGAATAGTTCTAGTTCTTATCATAAGTATAGTGATAGCAAAGAGATTTTCTATTCAAACGAATTCTATAAGAAAATAGATGATTCAAAATGATTTATTTCCATTTTGAATTTTTTTTTATGGAAGACTACAATTATGTTACTCTCTCATAAAATACTTAGTTCAGTATCATTTATAGATATTTCAATTGATTTTTATATGAAATGCATAGGATAATAGTCTATAATGAGTGATTCAGTTAAAAAGATCACTAAAAAGACGTAGCGATCGAAATTAAATTCCAATCGATGATATAAATTGGTAAAACTCAGTTGTTTCATAGAAGAAAAAATGGTCGAATTTAAAGGTTTTTTCTTCATATCAAATAATGATAATCTATTTTTTCTGTTTAAAAGCCATTTTTCAAACAATATGTTTTTTTGTTTATTATATTGAGCAGCTTTTTTTTTAAATTTTCGTTGTAAAAAGAAATTGTTTGATTATTTTATCCGCTGTTTTATATAGAAACCAAAAATGAGAAGATTACTTCTAAAAAACTCATACTTATTATAACTACATCATTTCATGTATTTCGTATGTTATATGTAGGTCAATAAAAGTCAAGAGAATTGGTCTGATACACAATTTTCATTATCTACAGCAACTCCATCTCTAGGTGGTGCCGCTCCCAAATTGGCTACACTTAAAGTCAACTGTCGTCAATACCATGGAGTTTCAACACGCTTCATGGACATATCTGCAGCTCATAGGGTGCCGATGAATACACCATGCAGTACAGCATCAACAAAGTTCTTGAAAGTACGTGAACAAACATCGCTAATCAGCTCTGCTTATTACTATAACGATGATGAAGACACGACACAAAGCATTGTCAACGTATTAGGCTCAAAAGCTGAAATGAGTTTTTCCAGCATTAGTTTCATGATTCCTCGTCGTTCGACTATCAATGCCGATGTAAGTCTCAATTTGATCTAATAAATCTTTGTCAATTTTAACATTTCTGTCTGTAAAAGGGTAAACCACACAAGTTGACTATCGGTGTGCTTGATCTCGTTTCGACCTTTAGCTATACAATTGTACCTAAGCTATCATTACACGCCTATTTGAAAGCATCAACTTTAAATACATCTGACAAATATCTTTTAGCTGGTCCTGTATCTATTTTCATGAACAATAATTTTGTTACGCATAGCTCAATTGATAATGTGTGTTTAGGTGACACGTTTGATCTACCATTAGGTATCGATTCTAGTATCAAAATTGAATATAAGCCAGTAAAGAAAACAAGCGATACTCAAGGTATAATTTCCAAAGTTCATCTCAAAACTGTTCGTCACGAAACTCATATTACGAATACTAAGACCAATGAAGTGATTGTTTTTGTTTATGATCAACTTCCATTATCGTCCGATGAAAAGATCAAAGTCAATTTGATTCAGCCAGATTTACGACGACAAGACAATAATCCACATAATACCATAATGACATTAAAAGATACTAATAATTTAGAATGGAAATGTGTATTATCATCCAGAGGCGAATGTCGACTTCCGTTCGAATATACAGTCGAATGGCCATATGATAAACAAGTTGAATTTCAAGAAGAACTATAATTTTTCTCGCATATTTATCCTTAATTATTTTATCTATGATTTGATTGAGAAAATAAATGAATCTTGACTAATATGATATCTTTTATCGAACAATATCATCATTATTTGCTGCACCTTTCAAGTGATTGAAACTCTTGAATAGTCTATTTCTAATGTATTTCTCCTTCAAAAGTCTTGTAGGATCAGCCTTTTAGCGCTTCGGATCCCGTATGTCCCAGTTTGAAAGAACCAAATCCTGATTCTATTGTATTATTGGATGTTTTATAAGAAAAACACCTTTTCTATATTTTGACCTAGAGTTGCTTTTCGATGCTGAAACTTGTTTGCCGAAACCATCAAGGCTCTGGAATAAATTTTTAGATTCTTCGATCATCACAAATATTTCTAATTATTTCTTATTTCATCAACTAAATCAACAACACAGCATTGATAAGACTGATGAAAAATTAAAAATGAGAAAAATTATTAAAAAAACCGGTGACATTTGGTAATGTTATCAAGATCACCCTATCAAAGTTTTGTTTTTTGTCGATCACTTTACTTAAAAAGTCATGCATATATAAGACGGGTGGTTCAAAAGTCAGTTTCCTAAGAAGACAAATCTGAGTGTCTTCGGCATAATTTGACTAAATGAACTGATTCTTTTATTGCTAATAAAGGAACTCTCATAGTTTATATGCATTAGAAAATGGATGAAAAGTACTACTTTTGAAGTACTACGTTTAACATGTAAGTAGTTCAGTGATATAAATGAGTTTCGAAAAAAAAACATACGTTCTTTTCTTCGATCATAAATAAATAGCAAGCAATATTTTCAATCAATACTCTAGATACTAGTTGTTTGTTCCTGAGTTTTTGCCATAAATGTATGTCTTGTTAGTTAGTGCAACGTGAAAATTTTAGGCACAAATAGCTGAGGTTATCAAGCGAATTATTCACAAAATCATGGTTTTTCTAATGCATATTAACTATGAGAGCTCCTTTATTATGAATGAAAAAATCAGTCTATTTGATCAAAGTATAATGGAAATACTCAAGTTTGCCTTTCCAGAAATTTGACTTTTGGGCCATCCTGTATAGTTTTTAGATATGTTTTTTTAAAGATATTTATCATTATTTTCCTATTATTACTCTATCGACTAATAGGAAAGAAAGCAATCAGTCCGTTCATAAGATCTCAGCCTGTTGCCTTGTATGCTAACAACAAAATCTCAATCAGTATGGACGAAATGGCGAAACAACAAAGCATTTCCAAACGATATTTTTTCAATGGCGTGAAAAGAATGTAAAGAAAACAGTAATTTCGTTGAGAAAAGGCGTTTGGACTGTTCTCAACAGATTGTTGAACATGATAGGCAGCATTTGAAATTAAGCAAACGCATTCAGACAGACTTGAACGATATCTGAAATATTGATTTTCGTTTCTTATATACGTTTATGGCTGACTCGTGTATATAAATTTCAGAATTTCCTAGATGATGTCGGTGTGGTCTTCTGTTCATCCACACCCACAATCGTTGTTGCTCACATTAAACTTTGTAACACAGGCAATGATGAATCAGGTTCACTAACGACGAATACAGAAAGAATAAGAAACATATAGCTGTGCTGTGTGCAGCTAGCATGACTTCATTTGTTCTCCTTTCTTGTCTTTATTCTTTTTATTTATTGTACCAATAATCCTATGTGTTAAAAGTGGGTATAGGTGTGAGCACATAGATCCATATTCATTCACCTGTATCACACCCCTCGAACAAGATCCTGAAAAAACAGGCTTTTTCCTTCTTACTTAGAGATAGGGTGGGGTGTGGAATGTGAGGCTTCTCATCACTTAGATCCACACCCCACACCCACACCCATTTCCAAAATTGATATTACCGATGAAGATTTATAGAACGAAATTGAAATGTTACTTAAAAGAATTAATAGGAGAGTGCAATAGGGATGCACTTGAATTCTCGTTTTCCTTTGACTAATTTTTTTCACACCCGAAATCATATGAATAAGATCATATCAAACTTATGATAGGCAATAAATATAAGAATAACACTATTCCTGTAAGAGATTCTTCATCGATACAAACTACTGCTTTGAAAATTGTTTTCAATATTCGAATTTGTGATTTGTCCATAAAGGTTCGATTAATAAATATTTCTTTTTTGTTTAAACTCAATCAATCAACTGAATGGAAAAGAAATACTTGATGAATAGATCAGAGTCTGGCATAGGGAGAATACCTTAATCTCCATCGTCCTTCCCCACATGTGCATAACTGGTAACGATTGTGATCGGTCTAAGTTTGTTTTTTAGTTTTTTTCATATATACAATACTAATATAGACTTCGTTGTACTATGAAACTTTCTCTTAGTCAATAAATTCCAAGAGAAAGAAAATCTAGGGAAATAAATAGTGAAAAGTGACTTAGTAGTGGGTTTGACGTCTTACATCATTAGCGTAACGATTAAGTAGTAGATATGATCAATCAAGAATTTGATTTGACTGCTATAGAATCCAAAAAGCGAAGAGTAACTCATGTCCGTCTGAACGACCGCTTTCAACTTTTAGATGGGTACTAATACCGATAAGAATAAGAAAACTCTGATGATTCCAACTCTGATAAAAATGTCTTTTATTTCATTAAAAAAAAAGAAAATATGAAAACATCAGTAAAATAGAGTCAAATAGGTTTAAGTGTGTTCACGAACAGATTTATTGACATCCATACAACATATTAATATTATTTGTTTTACATATAATATATGTATGAGTATGATCCTCGAAGTATGACCACTTACGTCGTAGACCATTACCACCATTAACTTTCTCATCCATATCATTAACGCCTGGTACATACCAACCGGACCATGCGCCACTGAACCATCGAATTTTGTATGCAATAATATTACCACATTTAATAGCCCAATCAATATTTAAATCTATACCGGAACCTGGCCAACGACTATCATAGGTTGGTTGTTCATTTGATACTTCTGTGCAGTTACCTTGTGATGTTATATCAAAGCAACCATAATTACCACTACCTTGATCTGGACATGTAGATGGTTGTTGACCATAAGATGAAACCACCAAACAACATAAAATAATGACGATTACTTTTGTAATCAACATTTTGAAGCTTGTTTGAAAAGTTAGTGTTATGAGATGATCGCATAGTCGAGTGCTCCTTATATACGACTTTTACTTCTTCTATTACAAGAATACTTTGAATAAAAAGAATAGAATAAATTAATCATATACACGCAATAAAAAAAAAATCAGGATTTTTTTTTCAATGTCTCAGTATGCTTATATATACAATAAGTGTATATAATTACTTTATCAAAGACGAACTGCTTTTGAATACTTAATAAATAGATTAATGTGTGAAAATAGAAGTAAATCTAATGTAAAGAAGTATTAAAAAATAAGCCAGGAGCAAATTAGTATTTAGCTACACAATGACGATATTGACACAAGCATACATTGCCTTGATTTCTTCTTTACTAAACATTTATTATATAGTTCTTTTAAATAATTATGATCAATTATTTTAAGAATAAATTTTATTTCTACTGGATAATATCAAAGTATGTCACGTCATATATGATGCTATGAAAATGAATTATTTTCGTAATACTGATCTATATTACCCGAGGGTATTCTTGAATAAATTCAGATTTCGTTTTGTGCATTTAATATCTACTATTTTCGAAAGAAGATTAATTTGATCAATTAATACAAATGATCTCAATTTAGTTTTACATTCAAGCTTAGTCGATTAATATGCAAGGAATTTCGTGCCAAATCAGCTGATTGAAGCAATGATATCTGAATGAAGATTATTGACAGGTTATCAGTTGATATGGATGAATGAGAATAGATGAAAAAGTCTCTGAGTAAATATGTATTTTAGATCTATCTATTTTCTCACAGCTACACCTGCACTTACCCATCCACAATAGATTTTCGTTTCATCAAGAGCATTGGTAAAAGTTACATTTTTTGGCAAAATATTCATGTATTTAAAATTAACGTGCACAAAAGAAAAATCTTTCAGTACTATCTGTACACTATACTACAATGTATTGACTGAATTTTTACATTTTTTT